ACTTACTGAACAAATGAAGATTATGTCAAATATTTTGAACAGACTAATATATATGTAGATATGGCCCTGCACACCAAGTATCTCCTCTTGAAAACCACACTGACCTCACTACAGACACTGTTTTGAGGGGTACAGGCTAATACCAGGCTTACTACCACGGTCTCAAGATCAAACCACTCCTGGGCGCATGTCCATTCCCACTGCAGACTCCCTGCTTCCATTCCAGCTTTCTTCAGTCTTTGCCCTCTGGGATCTTCAGCCCTCAAGGCCCCATTGTGTTTGATTGTTACTCATCTCTTTGTTCTTTCTCTCCCTTCTCCATATCCATTCTGCATCAAATTTCTATCCTTTCTTTCATTCCTATTTTCTTGCTCTTCAATTGCTTGCTTCAGTATACCCATACAGAAAATCCAGAACTTGTCTAGAGTTCAGTTTTCTGCTCTTGGGTCTCCCAGTTGACTAGGGCTGGAGGAAACACAGAACTGCACTGGCTAGTCTTTTCTGTGGTTTGTGACACAGCATCACTTGGGCCTTTATTTCGGTTGGGGCGGGGGGGGGGTCACTCCCTGCCTGTTTTCTCCTATGCACCTATTTCACCTCTTCTCCGATGCTGTGCTCTAGCTGTCTCTCTTACCAATGGGAGCTACTGCTTTCTGCCTAATATATACACTATCAGATTTTCTGTAGACTGCTACATGGGTGACCTTGCCTGCATTTTCACCCACACCCAACACATCCTTCCTGCTGGCAAGATACTCCTGTCTGAAGTCAGTCTTTCCCCTTATTTCACAGACCCCTCCCTGTTTCTCCTTCTTCAGAAGTTAGCAATTATTTTGGAAAGAACACCCTGGTGAGACTGACAATGGTCTATCCTTGCCCTCTTTAAGTCCTCACCTCTTGTTTCCCTGCACACATTATGTTGATGTTTGCCCCATTAGTTCTAATCAGGTTGATCTTATAAAGGTCATCAATAAGTTCTATACTGTTAAATTCACCAGTAACTAGTCCTCTTTGTAGCCCATGTAGGAACTATGGTCAACAGAGCCAATTAGCCAATTGCTTATTTCTGCTTCTTCTTCTTTTCTTCTCCTTCTTCTCCTTCTCCTTCTTCTTCTTCTTCCTCCTCCTCCCCCCTCCTGAAGATGAATACTAACCTCCCTAGTTAAATGCAATTCTGTCCATAGGATTCCCACACTTACTGCCAAAGCTTTTTCTTTCTTCAGCCTTGCTAGATGACATCTAAACTGAAGCTTTAATCACAGTCCAGAAGGCTTTTCAATGGCTGTCCCTCAAAATAAATCTGTTGATTCACCTAGAATTTTGTCATTAGCCTTTAAAGGTATAATAGCTTGTTGGGGGCAGGGAAGGGTATTCGATAATGCTGTGAACCCCTAATTAGCATTTGCTTTAATTAAATAAAATTAACATTGGAGCAGGAGGATGAGTTAGCAACTAGTTGACATAAAGTCATCAGAGGGCATCAGAGAGCACCTGGGAGAGACAGAGAGACCCGCCAGAAATACTAGAATAGGGTTTTGAGTGACGTGGCTATTTTCGTTTTTGCTGAGCTGAAGGATGGCCCCTTGCAGGAGAAGTCAGCAAGGAGAGAGGGCTAGCTGGTTGCTACTCAGCCCCTCTGAGCTAACAGTGTTTCACCCCAGCCTTTGAACCTCGAGTCTTATTTAGTTAAAGCTGCCTTTAGCACCAGCAGCAAAGCCAGTGCCTGGGGGAACAGAATTCCCGCCAGGCTGCGGCCAGGTCGCTTCTAGAGAAGCAGACCAGTAACTGTGGAGTCGCAATTTCTGGCTGAAATAACAGTAGATTAAGGTGTAAGCCACTGTGCTGAAAATAAAACAACATTCATTCTTGCTCTATTAAATGCCATTTTTGTCAAGATTAATGTTTTGTACCATCATTTATAAAATGAACCGCACATGTATAGTTAATTAAATTATACTTCAAAGTCAAGAAAAGGCTACAAAAGACACTTCTGCATTTAAAAAGTTGGCAGATTTCAAGTATTAATATTAAAATGAAAGATAAAAACTGAAAATATTAAAGAATATTATTTTCCATAGTTTACAAAGACGTATTAACTCACATATCACTGATATTGAAGGAAGTCATCTTACTTTCTCTTTTCCAAAGAGCAAATTGAAGAATGGAAAAGAGATTTGATAGGAGACACTGAAAAACTCCAGGACGGAACACACAATACATGCCACTCGGGAGGGTCTGCAGAGGGAGGTTCTTAAGTCCAAAGCATAACAAATTAACCCTGTCTCTAAGGTAATAAACTACTACGTTTTCAACTAGACAAGAAAAAAACTATCTTAAAAAATCTTAAAGTTTTACCTTATAATTTAAAGCAAATCGGCATCATCTTTGCGCACTATTACAAAGTACCAGTTTGATGCTGAGGTTGTAGTGAACTGTGCGAGTGAGCCCTACAGGATGAAGTCACGGCAAGGCGGCTGGGACCCGTCTGGAGAGCAACAGTCAGGTTTCTGCTCAGCTGAAGGCAGACAGAAAGCATCCCAGGCTAACAACTATGCTACTCATTCTGGATGATGCAGCAAACGAGAGTTCTTACCCTCTCTCTTGGGGTTCAGGGCTTAGGCTCTATACTTTTAATGGCAAAAAAAAAAAACTAAAACAAAAACAAAATACAAATGTGCAAAATCAATCTACCTCAAATATAACTGGAAAATTTGCATCCTGGAAAACCTTTGTGCTTGAAATAAAAGGAAGCTGGTGATGGTTTTCATTACGGCAAGTAGAGCAAATCTTGCCACCCCTCCCACTGGGGGCTTTAAGATCTGGAGCTGAGCATCAAGTAAGTTCTGGGTGAATAACAATTGTATACACCCCGAATCCTTTCCAGGGTCCACATGCCTTCTCTCTTTAGAAGGCAAATCCCACTTCCTCACGCTATACCATTTTCTTCTATACGGGAAACAGTACATACTCATTGGAGAAATGTGGGGTTTTGAGTAGGCGAAGGGGAGGTATGAGAATATTGCAATTCCTGCAACTACTATGGACAGTTACTAATATTTACTGAGCACTAATTTAGTACCTGATAGGATGCGATGTTAATCGCAGCTTCAGAAGCACTGTTACACTGTAGGGTAAGGAAATCTAATCAGTTCCTTGTTCTTTAACTCTCTCTTTAGAGGAGAAGACCTGTAGCACCAAAAGCTGAGCTTGCCCCATAATTAGTAATCAGTTTAGGCAGCCTGACTTCAAGGCTTATGATGTGCCAAACCCATCTACCATCATCTACGTTCTAGAAAGAAGAGACAAGACAGTTGCTAAGCAGAAAAGCCATCGGCATTATTTCATATGCAGATAAGACCAGAGAAGAAAGAAAAGAGAAAATTTGATAGAAGTAACAAGAACAAGCCAGATGTTGTGCTACACACCTGTAATTCCAGCACACAGGGAGCTAGGGTAGGACCATGAGTGTGAGGCTAGCCTGGGCTACACAGCAAGGCCCTGTCCTCCTCCAGATATCACCAAAGTGAACATGGCAACAGAGGAAAGTGTGGGAACAGGGACACTGGCACCAGGTTTGAATGCCAGCACTGTTTGGATGGGAGGCTGTTATTGCTCTTTGTGCCTGAATTTCCTTCACTATAGAAGCTACCACTCAACCTGTATGCCCACCAAGGTTATGATGAGCTGATATAAGGGAAATACCAAAAACACTGTCTCACCAAGCCCTAAGTATGTGCTTTTTTTTAATTACTGGAACGGTTGCATTTATCTTTGCTTCTTTCTTACAACACTCCTCATTATATTGAGAACTTCTACTCAAGACAGTACACTCTGAAGATCATGTGAAGAAGCATGACCAAGTCAAAACCTAAGTGATGCTCCGTAACATCGGCATTAAAGCACACAGCTTGCAGGTGGAGAGAAGCAGAGTGTCAAAGTCCCCGAGCCTGGGTCCTGCAAAGGAGGCCTGGGTGAGTGTGCTGAAGGTCAGGTTCCACAGCAAGTTTGGAACCAGGTGACAGATGGCTTCATTGGCCATCCAAGGACCCGAATCCCTCGGCACACATCAACACACCAATAGTGCACCTTGATTTACATTTTATAAATATCTCTCCAGCTGCTATGAAAGATTGGATTATGGCTTCTACAGAGCATCAGTGTTATTACTGGGAACCCCAGAGAAGATAATTCCTTAGCTGTATGTTTTTTAGAATGTTTGTTCTGATGCTTTTAATAATAGTGTTGGTGAAAAGACTTAAACATGTACTTATACATACATATATCTATATGCAGACAGTTTGAACAGATACATGGTCGAAATAATGGAACTGACTTTTGTTTAGGATTCTAAAATGAATGTGAACCATATCTACTAAGCTTAAACTATTTGAATGGAAACAACTGGGCAGTGCGTTTGCTGTGAATTAGAAAAGGAAAATACTTCTCACATCTGCATCAGTTAGCTATTGGTTCATTCTTCTCTGAAGAACAGAAACACTGTGAATCTGATTGGCTAGAACCAGAAAGCTTTCCCTAGTGGGCGGGACTACTTCCCTCTTACACTCCTCCTTTTCAAGTTCACTTGGGTTTAAGTGGGTGACATCTATCTTAGCAACAGTGCCGAACTCAGTCTTAACCAGATATCCTTGGTAAGGGTTTTCCAGTCTCAAAGCAGCTATCAACAGCTCTACTGTCGATTAGCTGATAGAACTGCAGGAAAGTAGTGAATGACAGTGGACAAAAAAAGCATTTCTAGGCCCTTTTTAATTATAACCATAATAATATTAAATTGTTACATTAATGTCAACACTGGAAAGACCACTATTGTATTAGAAACAATATTACACTCTTGCCATAATAAAAATATGAATACCCTATACTGTTGCTCATAAAATGTGAACCGGAAATAAAATTTGGATGAAGATTTCTCTTAATCACCAAAGCTCATAAAGACTTTATTAAAGCTCAAAAGTATACTTGCATAAAGTGAACTGTTTTACCTGTGTGCTCAGCTCCCTCATTCTTGACTTCTGTGGTTCCCACGGAAGAGGTGGGCGGACTAACTGGAGGACTGGAAGGAAAGCTGGCGCACCCTGTAGACGTGCTGATTTCAAAGTATTCTTGGTTATGATTCATTCGCTGGAAATCCAGAGAAGACACAATAGATGTTCGTTGTTTTGGCTAAAATAAACAAGACGACAAGAGTATTAATACAATCATTCCTGCCTTTAGCCATATCTCTCTTTCTAAATAATTTGAAGAGGAAAAGGTTTATTTCCCCCACAGTTACATATACCAGTTTTTCAACAAAAGCAGCAAGGACCAGAACACAAGCAGGGCAGGAACATGAGGCAAGAGATGATGCAGAGGCCACAGAGGGGTGCTGCTTACTGCCTTGCCCCCATGGCTTGCCCAGTCTGCTTTCTTATAGAACCCAGGGGCACCAGCCCAGGGGTAGGCACACCCACATGGGCAGGTCTTCCTTCATTAACTACTAAGAAAAAGCCCTACAGGCTTGCCTAGAGCCTAATCTTATGGAAGCATTTGCTCAGTCGAGGCACCCTCCTCTCTGAAGATTCTAGTTTGTGTCCAGTTGACATAAAACTAGCCAGCACAGCAGAGAGAGACAGCAGTCAATCAGTTGATGATAGTGAAAAGCTGTATAACTGAAATTCTTATGACACCGTTAATATGCTACTTTAGGCTATCTGATTTCCACAGAAGACCACAAAATCAAACGCACAGCATTTCTCGCAATCATCGATTTTGAAAGTTACAACTTTAAGTCACCTTCCCTTCAACCAACATTCATTAAACATCTGTCATTCACTGGACCCTGAGGAGACAGAGACAAATATCAAAAGGTCCCTTCAACATTGAAGTATAATTAAGGCAGTTCTATTTTTTGCTTTTTTTTTATATAGTCCAAGGAATTGGTGGCATTAGATGGTATCCCCAAGTACCATATGCTAGAATTAAATCACGAGAATTAAGTGAACTTATATGGAACATTTTCTAGGATCTACGAATCTACTTGGTATTTGTAGTGAACTTTGATTTTCTTTCTTAAGGATTTTAATTAATCCCCAAATAGCAAGAAAAGTCAATTTAAACATAAAAGTTAAAATCATGGAGCAATTGCAGATATAATCTATGCTCTCTGTCGGTCACGGATTACTCCCCATAGGAGGCTTCTGGGGTTTTTCTACAACAGTATTAATAATTTCCCATTCTTCCTGCCCACTAGAGCTTAGAACATTGTAGTTAAGAAAAAGTAAAACCCTTTGGACCTCAGATCTATGTACTATTTCCAAAAAAAAAACCCAATCCAAGTTTTAACTTTTAATTATTCTTGTTGATAGAAGTGAAATATTCTTTCTTGCAATAAATAATAGGAGTTAAGTCTTATTCAATAAGTTTATTATCCATTCATTTTTCATAGTACAACAGCCTTTGTTTTATTAGTGTTTTCACTGTTCCAACATGTTTGGATCACTGTCTTCAGAGATCATTTTCTTAAAAAAAAAAAAAGACCTCAAATTCTGTGTCTCTTCTACATCACTGGTAGAAGTAAATTATCTAAAAACATAGAGAGAGCATGAAATGATCTCGATGCTTTACTCCTTCATACTTTTATTATTTAAAAAGCTTGAGAGGCAAAAAATACAGGAGCAGGCACGTCATTTATTATCGTGACACCACTCGGGGACAGAATTCAGATTAGTACCCACACAAGATGCAGTTGCTTCTGAAGGATGAAAGATGAGGATTTAATGTCAGGCTTGGTTTCTCATGACATGTCTGCCCTGGGGGCTACTGAATCTCAGTTTCACATTCAATGTCCTTCCCACTGTTCTCTGGAGCAGCCATTAAGGAGGCACACGCTATTACAGGGCACTAATAGAAACAGATATGGCCATCAGTCAAGAATTTGCTTTGTTGTTTTGTATTGTGCTTTGCTTCCCTTTATATACAGGCAATGGACTGCCTTCCCACTAACGCTCCTTCCTGTGAGCCTTCTAAGGGTCAAGACCACTGATGCATATGGTCTCCACCTAAATGTTTCTTAAATACATGTTTCTAAGCCTCGGCTGCCCACAATTCTAATTGCATTAAAACACAAGTTGTTATGCAATTATGAAGATAAATAGGCTAATTTGGCGCCATTAATTCATCCTACAAATATTGCTGAGTGTACACTAATTGCAGACACCAGGGCAAGTACTGCCAGAGCAATAAAGAAGTAACATTATAGCTCTTCAGTGGGAGGAGAAATGATGCATGGGGAAGAAATGAAACCATCTATATAGGAGCTGCAGGGAACACAAAAGACAGTACCACACATAAAGGAGCTGCAGGAAGGGAACGCTAAGGTCAGGGAATCCACTGTTGGGTTTCTACTTGAGGGAGGGTACCAAAAAAAGCAGTACTCCCCCCTAAACCCACCATTTTCCATGGTCTCTCACTACAGGATATTTTTATTTGTTATCCATGTTTTCGTCCCTAAAGCATGGGGCTTTTCACAGTGTGATGGTTAAACCCTTCCTGGCAGTCATTAGGGTGGATGGGTGTATCAGGCTTAAGAGGGCATTGGTCAAGAATCCCACCCTAAAGGTTGATGCCACCACAGAAGGCAGGATAATAGGTGAGTGACTCCAAGCCAAAGCAGAAGCTCTGTTGCCCCACAGACCCCATTGGCACAACAGTCAGACACGAAGACATGTTTTAGAGCAAAACGGGCTATATCCAAGCACAGGACACACCTGTAAGTAGGGCAGTGGGATTCACTTGGTACAAAGCAAAGAAGCCAGACTCTAAGAAATGCCCAAAACGAATTATAAGTGAATGTTCTATTGCCAGAGTGAGGGTGATATGTATGTGTTATACTTACTTTGAATTTTCTTAGCCAGTCAGAACCCATTATAGAAGTATTGTGGAACATAAAAATGTAGGTGGAATATATTCTGATACAACATTAGGAAGAGCATGCCATTATGGTGGAGCACATGCATGTGATCCACTTAGGATTGAAATAAAAAAAAAAACTCCTGGAAAACTTAAAAGAAACGGACAACTTTCTGGATAAATATCACTTACCAATATTATATCACTATCAGAAAAGCAAATTAAACATACCTATAACTGCCAAAGAAATACAAACAGTCATCAAAGGTCTTCCAATAAAAAAAAAGACCAGGATCAGATGGTTTCAGCATAGAATTCTACAAGATTTTCAAAGATGAATTAATACCAATACTCCTCAAATTGTTCCATACAATAGAAGCAGAAAAAACATTGTCAAACTATTTTTATGAGGCTACAATTAACATGATACCCAAACCACAGAAAGACATTACTAAAAAAAAAAAGAATTATAGACCAAACTTACTCATGAACATTGATGTAAAAATACTCAACAAAATACTGGCAAATCAAATCAAAAAAACACATTAGAACCATCATCCACCACGATCAAGTCGGCTTCATCCCAGAGATACAGGAATGGTTCAACACATGAAAATCTGTTAATGTAACCCACCATATAAACAAACTGAAAAAATAAAAACCACATGATCATCTCATTAGATGCTGAAAATGCTCCTGACAAAATACAACATCCCTTCACGAAAAAGGCCTTGGAGAGAGAAGGGATACAAGGAATATACCTAAACATAATAAAGGCAATATACAGCAAACTAACATCAAACTAAATGGAGATAAATTCACAGTGATTCCACTGAAATCAGGAACAAGACAAGGTTGTCCACTCTCTCCATATCTATTCAATATAGTTCTTAAGGTCCTAGCTAGAGCAATAAGACAAAAAAAGGAGATCAAGGGGATACAAATCAGAAAAGAAGAAGTCAAACTCTCACTATTTGTTGATGATATGATATTTTACATAAGCAATCCCAAAAGTTCTATCAAGGAACTTCTACAACTCATAAGCACTTTCAGGAATGCAGCACAATACAAGATTAACTAAAAAAAAAATCAGCAGCCCTCCTTTACACAGATGATAAATGGGCTGAGAAAGAAATCAGAGAAGCTTCAACCCTTCACAATAGCCACAAATAGCATAAGATATCTTGGAGTAATTCTAACCAACAAGTGGAAGACTTGTATGGCAAGAACTTTAAATCTTTGAGAAAAGAAATTGAAGAAGGCACCAGAAGGTGGAAAGATCTCCGAGGTTCTTGGGTAGGTAGAATTAACACAGTAAAAATGGCAATCTTATCTAAAGCAATCTACAGATTCAATGCAATACCCATTAAAAGCCCAGCAAAATTCTTCACAGACCTTAAAAGAATAGTACTTAACTTCATATGGAAAAGCAAAAAACCCAGGATAACCAAAACAATCCTGTACAAAAAAAGAATTCTGGAGGCATCACAATCCCTGACTTCAAACTCTACTACAGAGCTGCAGTACTGAAAACAGCCTGAAATTGGCATAAAAACAGACAGGTGATCCAATGGAACTGAATTGAAGACCCAGATATTAATCCACTCATAAGTGGTTTTTAAACATATAGCAAAGGAAACCAGAATACAAATTACAATTCCAGAGAACTTAGACAACAATACATACATACCTAGATCTAATCTACATGGGAAGTAGAAAAAGACAAGATCTCCTGAGTAAATTGGGAGCATGGGGAAGGGTGTAAGGGGAGGAGAGAGGCAGAGAAGGAATCAGAGAAAAATGTAAAGCTCAATAAAATCAATAAAATAAAGAAAAGGAGTTTGAGCTTTTGGGCTTTAGGATGTATCAAAAAAGAAAGAAAGAAAGAAAGAAAGAAAAAAAGGAAAAAAGAAAGAACTCCTGACTAGGTAATATGATTCTTCCTTCCAAACTTTCCTTAAGCTTCCATTTTATGTTTCCTTTATTCTTTTCAAACCACTTAAAGCAATGGGCATTTGAAAAAGCCTCTTACTTAAATTTAAGTTGATTTCCAACCACTTGAAATTGCCTAATTCAATTAGAAGGGGTTTCAGACGCTGTCCTAACCAAATGTCAAGCTGATCTAGAGGGACACACTGGTGTCAGGGCAGAGATGTGGCACTCGCAAAAGTCGATGGTAATATTAAATAAACCAGTCAGGTGAAACCGAGATGCAGAATGAGTTCTCGGGAAAGATTGCAGACTATCAGAACACTCGCTGTGACACTAATAGGACC